AAATTGAAAATGCAACATTACTGTACAATTGACTTGTGCAAGCAGGGCTGAGCTAAAAACGGGATATTCTTAATCTAATGTACATACTTTTGATTTTCTTCTTTATCCTCTCTTTTTGGATATCCCTTCTGTATTAAAGTTCCGTTTGATAACAAATACAGATATGATGCTATATCGATTGGACTAGATATGAGGCTATATCGAGTGGACTAATTTTCGATTGAACTGAAGTCATCTATTCATAATTGCCGGCTTTTAGAGCATTTAAACAAATATCAATCTAACCATGTTAATATGAACTTATAGAGGACGTGAGAAAGTGTGTTCCTTTATGGAGCCACAGCTACGTTGGGAGCTCTGATAACCCGGCTTACTCTGAATTGGGCTTTACTGAAGAACCGGAGGACTGCAAGAACGGAGACAGTTCAGATGGAAAGACTCCTCACCAATGTCGAGAATCAGTAATGGTCAAAGTATCGTTGATCTGCGATAACCGATAGACTTCGACAATCCCCCCTCCGTTGATGTGAAGTATATTCTACCATGATGTGCAATTCTAATTCGTTATCTGTATTAATAATACTATTATCTTAACTATTTGTATATTGACCCAGCCGGGCTAGCCCGGTCAGTTCATTTTACCTGTTTATAAATAAAGTAGTTTAATATCATTTGTTGATTAGAACGGACGTATACAGAGCCTTGAGTGTTGGCTAGAGATAGAGAGCCTTAAGTTTTGGCTAGAGATTTAGTTAAATATGATCTCATTAGACTTTGAGTAAAGTAATCGTTATAGAATTAGCGTCTAGATTTGTTACACTCCTACCTTCACCAAACCAAACCTACTCCTACCATTACCAAACCAAACAAATTGAATTTTAACATTTTTAAATTCAAACAAATATGTAGTACATGCCTTGCTCTATAAAAGTCTTTCAGACTCGTATCAATCCAGGTACAATTCATCCCTCTTGTTGGTCTACGACGCATAATAACTAATAAGTACAATAACACTTTACTTTATCTGTACCAATGCTTTACTATCAATGTCCATCCAGACACGATTTATCTGAACCAATTCCTAATCTATGCCTATCTTTCAAGAATGTGATTTAGGACTCTTCACGTTTGCTAAACGAGGAACAATTTCCCTCTCACCGTAATGATTTTTCTGGGTTCTAGGTTACAGATTAAGTTTAATAGACGTAATTACAAGTTTTGGGTCGTTATATATCAACCTAGCTAAGCTAATTACAATACAGGTTTGACATAGTTATTTACAGATGTAACTAGATTAAGTTGACAGCAATACAAGAGTATTTATTGATAAAAGGATTTAGATTTACAGACACTGTACAACGTAATATATCTAGGGGTAACTATGGGATCTACTCCGGTATTTATTACAAATATAATAATTCATCAGCTTTGATTTTGACTTTGCTTATTTATAACTACCAAATGGATTAAACTACTTGAAATCCTGAAGAACCCAAAGTCATATACTCCCATCCCTCCATTCTTTCTACCTGTTTATTTTATCTTTACCCTGAAAGTTTTGTCTAAATTGTTTGTATCCCAAGCCCCCAACAATAAAGTCTTCTTAATACTTTCTCTAATTCTTCTAAATACTTTATAACTCGGCACACTAGGATTTATCCAACCCTGGAACTCAAATTATTATTTAAATAAACTATTTTCAACATTTTTTTTAGTTTTCCGGTAAAATGCAGGGTTAACAACAAAGGATAAAACTTTAACAACTTACTATCTGAAGGTTGAATTAGTTTGTTTGTTTAAACTAAAGTCTTCTTATGGTTAAATATTTAGATGATTTGAGAAAGAAAGAAACATGAAATGTCTAAAAGAAGGCTAAATGAATTCTTTATAATCGACTCTAAAGTTGTATCCTTTTGTTGTTAACCTTTAACCTGACATTTCTAATCGAGTTTTAAAAATCAGGAATTTTTCAAGAAATATTTGCTTCCATGAAATAAACCCCCTCTCTAAAGAGGTTTATACATGCTTTGTCCCCGCTCGACCCAAATGTTCACCAAGCACTATAAAAAGTCATAAATCAAATATATAGTGGATAAAGAGCAAAAAAGAAAGGAATTTATAAATAAAATACGCTGCGAAAAGATGACCAAATATTTGATAGTAAAAACAAACTTTTTTTCAAATTGTTTTTAAGTTTAGGCACGTCATTTCTTGTTTTTTAAACAAATTTTAAATGACCTGACTAAGCTTTTAAGCTTTGTCGGGTCATTTCTTGTTTTGTTTTTTCAACTGTTTTGAAGTTTAGGCAAGTCATTTCTTTGTTAAGTTAAGAAGTTTTAAGTTTAGGCAGGTCATTTCTTTGTTAAGTCAAGAAGTTTTAAGTTTAGGCAGGTCATTTCTTTGTTAAGTCAAGAAGTTTTAAGTTTAGGCAGGTCGTTTCTTTGTTGAGTCAAGAAGTTTTAGGTTTAAGCAGGTCATTTCTTTGTTGAGTCAAGAAGTTTTAGGTTTAAGCAGGTCATTTCTTGTTTGTTTTTTCAAGTTGTTTTTAAGTTTAGGCAGGCCATTTTTTGGTTTAGTCAAATAGATTTTCGATTGGAGCAGAACATATTTTCTCTTTAAGTTTATTTTTAATTTTTGACGAAATGAATAAAATTAATTATTATTCTTATTTATTTTATACACTTTGTTATTCTTTTAAATTTTAAGACAAAAAAAGTGTTTAAAGGCGTTTTTAAATTACTACCAAGATAATTGGTAGTCCATTGTTCAGAAAAAACATTTTTAACATTTAAAAAAATTAATTTTGTAAATTAGCTAGCTTTGATAAATTGTATTTAATACATTTGTTGATTTGATATTTGTAACAGGAAAAAAGATACCAAAATATGTTGATATTTCATAAAGAATGCATCTCCAGATACAATATGGCATGAACGTAAGGCAAGGAAAGTTTATTGCGGTCGTGTATACTCTGCATACATATTGAAACCAGTTCTCTTTGGGCGGAATTTGTAAACAAGAACAGATGCATCAGTGTTCGTTTAGTATCCGAGGAGGTTAAAAGCATTAAATTTTAAAAATTTTGATAATTCACATAATAGTTTCCTATGACCAGAATATTTCATCGACTTTTCATGTGAAAGATGGATCCCATTTCAGGCTTCGACATCCGGCTTATCTTCACATTACCGCCCAGAGACAGTAAACTGCAGTAAAAAAGATGTGTACACTTCTGAAATAACTTTCCTTGCTGTGCAATATGGTAAGATTTCGCCGCAAACAATTTGAACTTGGTAAATTTTAAACTCGTTAGCAAAAGCAACAAAATCAAGAAATTTTATAATGGTATGGGGTAAATTATGTGCGAATATATAAATAGCTCAAATCAGCAGTAAAAGTAAAATACTCCTCCTTCTTTTTAGTTTGCCGTATGTTGCAAATGAGAATGTTGCCAAAAACTTCTCAAAAGCTAAAGTTAAATACAAGTTGTAAAATGTTCATGACTATGGCTACAAAAAATTCGAATTGAGTGAGTTAGGTAATATGAACGGCCACGGCGTTTAGGAATTTCAAAATCTTGAAAATTCGTGCAACTTTTCATAGCAGCCTGGATCTACATTTGTTTAGTTTTTTCATATTGCGATGCTTTCAGGATTTATCAAAGCACTTCGTAATATATTACTATTAGGACTACTTTTGGAAATTTAAAACGATTTAAAATTTATTTTTAGTTCACTGAGTTGAGATGATGTTTTTTCTTCCTTTTTCCTTAAACCCCCCACCCCCTTCCACATTCCTTATTAGACACAGACGACTGCACAATTGTAATATTTGGTCAATTGTATCCAAACTAAGGAATAATAATAAATCTTTTTACAGATCAAATTATTCCTACATATTCGTGAAGAATAGTGGTTGATAAGAAGAAGAAAAAAAAACAGAGAAAACATACAAATATATATATTTATATCTATAAACATATCACTATCAGATATAAGCTTTTCTTTATCCCCCTAGATATATGGTATATATAGAAAAAGAGAAAATAGGATACAATGCATTCATTTTTAAGAAAAGATGGGGTATGAATGATTCTCAGGTATTTCGGGGATTCAATTGAACCAATTATATTTTATCTTTGCAAAACAAATCAATAAATGGTCACTGAATATGATCTGTTTAAAATTAGATTCTTATACTAAATCTCATATTCATAAGTTTAAGTATACCGTTGACACAGTTTTTTTTATCAATTTCTCGAAACAGGAACATTAGATATATAACTCATATAGGTCGCAATCAACTACTAACGTGTTCAGGTTTCAGCCTGAACCCCCTTCCATTTTCCTTAACAGCCCCTTTAAAGCATCCTTTCAATGCATGTTTTGATGTAGGTACAAATCAAATAATTTTACAATTAGCTTAAACATCCCTAATTATGTGAAACTAGCCAAAGTGTCCGGCGTGGCCATGGGAATTTAAAAAAAAGTTTGATTTTTTTTGTGATTTTTGAAAAAAAAATCGAATGTTTCCACGAGAGAACCCATTGGTTCTCTTCAGTCTAAAGTCGTCTTCCTATTCCATAGTTTTCTAGCTCTCACCCCGATGATTGTATAAATGAATGCAGCGTGAATATCCTACCCCAAGATCCTAGCTGGATACATACACCAATCCTTTATCTTACTGATTACTATTCTTATATTTATAAAAATTCTCAGTTGTATCCCCTGCCAGGTTTCCTTCAAACATTTTTCTTGTGTAATTATATCTACATTATAAAGCTCTTCGCTTATAAATATATATATATATAAACAATATTTATATGTTAGCTATAATTAAAAAAATATTTCCACTTGTAACGCCGCCACTTCAGCTAGTTTCTATAATAGTCATCCCAAATAAAGGAACTCAACTCAAATTTTATTTTTCCTAAATTTTTGAAACCTAATGGTGTGCAACTTTAATATTTTAAACTTATGACTATTTGATCGAACATAAAAATGTATGCTCAGTCGGTAAACTTATGATCGAAAGTTCTAGAGCGTTAAATTATTTAAGTATATGTAAACCGTTGTAGGCCCTGGCGCTTGTGGATATAGTTGCTCTGTTCAACTGGACCTATGTATCTACTATTGCTAGCGAAGGCAGCTATGGAGAAAGTGGAATAGAAGCTTTCCAGCAAGAAGCCAATAAACGAAATATATGTATCGCCGTTCAGGAAAAGGTACATTTTTTCTCTTTGTATATATTTTTAGCTGTTTTTTGGTTCATGGCTTGTATCCTATAAACGTCAAAATTATTGAATAGATGGAACCATATGTTTTAAATGACCTCACACGACCCAATAAAGGTTGAAATGCAAATTAATAGCTTAGAATGATTGTTAATTTCTCTAGAAATCTGCCAATTCAAACAGAAAAATCTGCAAAATTCAATTCTTTATAATGTAAAATACGATAAAAGCTAAAATAATTTCTAGGGAAGCCTAGCATAAATATTAATATAAAAACCAAAAGGTGTAGTTGTATGAAAGAGAAATACTTTAGAATTGGTTGGTTTGAATAACTTTATCAAGTTTCTCACAACTTCTACAAAAGTTTGAGCAAATGCCATTACAAATAGTAAATATTGAAAATCAACTCATTCTTAAAATTTATTAGAATTTGAATGTTGCATAGATATTAAAATTATGTTTTAGCAATCTTGATTTCTGCCTCTACATATTTATACAGTGTAAACTTGGGTTAGAAAAAACTAGAGAATATTCTTCTAAATTCTCGTAACAATATCTGAATAGGAACATCAGAATTATATTTAAACTAGGCTTTCAGAACGCTTCGTGTCCGTTTTCTGTTTAATTTGCATACATTGTAAAACAAAATTCAAAAAAAAGTTTGTGGATTTTTTCAAAAAAAACGTGGATTTTCCCTGGGTTCATGTGAGGTTCCATAAATTCAGCCGTTTTGACGTTTATTGGAAACAAACAGACAGATAGACAAACAGACACGCAAAGTATATATAAAGATTTACTGTATAAACAATATCAAGCAACGTTCTATTGAAAAAGCGGCAGGTCCGATACATAACGACGTTCAGAAAAGTATAAGATTTTATACTAGAAAAATTAGGACGCCATGATTTTCAGACGATGGTTTGAAGGGAATTCATCAAATATTATTTTGTTTTTTAAACAGAAAAAATTATAATTTTCTCCCGGTAGTGACTTTTCATCAAAAGATAAAATTAGCAAAGAATTACCGGAAAACTAAATATCCCTAAACGTTAAGCACGCAATTTAATGAAAAGGGTTAATTTTATGAAACTACTAAAACTTCAAGGTTGATGAACTAAGGCGTAAGATACAACCCAACAATCAATTGAACAGGATTGTAGATCTGATTTAAAGTGACCTTCAACTTTTTAGAGAATGGGTTGTCAAATTCACAACAGAACCCTTTAAATGAAATTGTCAGAATTTGCCCTTTTTCAATGTAATAAACGTCGAAGAACAGATGTTTAAACGGTACTATAATGTTGAGAATCGGATATACCACTCTTGAACGTGCCGGTTACTTAAATTTAGTCTACAGTCTCTTTAATTTGCCGTGTATAATATCATTTTGTAAGGAGGCCCCTTCTCTCATTGTTTAAATTTTTAAACAATGAAATTAGTTTTCATTTAAAGGGAGTGTTCCCATTGTTGAACACTTAAAAGGAAGAAACGGGCAAGCTGTAACGTAATTAACCTAATTCATTTGATGCCAATAAGACGTGTTCGCAATATGTAATTACTCAGTAGGAGCGCAAACTATTTTGTCCAATATCACGAGGTGTTATAATTCAAGGGGTGTCCTTGGAAAAGAGTTTTTTGCAATTATTCAATAAATCGGATGAAAAACAGGGAGAGCCAAAAAGATTAAGAAAAAAACTACTGAAAGCTAAGTCTATTGAAATTTACCATGCAGTATATATATATACTATATATATATAGTATATATATACAGAAGTCTTGTCAATAATATTGTCTTAAAAATAAGCACAGAGCACACATTGCAAGTGAATAGTTTTTTCATGATTATTGATTGACCCAAAGTAGCGAAAATACACGAAATTCATAATTAAACCGGTTTTCTCACTACTGAGCATTAGACAGAGAGTATTGGAACTTCTGGGATCTTCTTTGAGCTCTAAAACCGGATCAACTGTAAATGTAATCCTAAGTTAAAAAAAACTAGAAAGCTAAATATTGTATGTTAAAAAAAAAATAACAGTCCCTTTGAAGGACCAAATATCCTATTCATGGGGAATAATTATAATTTTTGTAGTAAAACAACTATAATAGATTATTCTAATATTTCTACCAACAATATAGACGTGCCTGTAAATATTATCATATTTAAGTTTTGTTACAATGCAAAGATTGATTTGATTTATCAAAAATACAGAGAGACCCAAACAACTGATGGATATGAAGACGACTCCAGTTATGATTTTGAATAGTCCAATAAACATATTTTACCGTTTTATGTGGCTCTCTTTATAAATAAATATTTATTAGTTAAAGTTTTTTTCACTGATTTATTCACGAAATTAAAAGAAAAATTTCAAAAATCGAACAATTAATGATTTTGATTTTGAAAAATTGAAGTATCAATTGAATTAACTGAAGAAAAAAATAATGTTATCGTGTGTTTTAACATTTGTTTGTTATATTTTTCTGCATTACATTTAAGATATTTTTTTTTGTTAAATAAAAAAGTGCAGTAGGTCCCCAGCTGGGCGGATCAGCTCAAGTTTGAGGAGATAATCTCTAATCTGCTGATGTTTATGAGTAGGTCCCTAGCTGGGCGGATCAGCTGAAGTTTGAAGAGATAATCTCTAATTTGCTGGTAAAGAGTGCCCGGGCTGTGGTACTCTTCACTAGAGCAGACGATGCCAGGTAATATTAATAGGGTCTGTTCTAAAAATTTAAGGGTTTTTTCTACTATTTAAAGGTTTTTTTGTTCTATACATAGGGTCTGTTTTTCTTTTTTAAGGGTCTGTTCTACTATTTAAAGGGTCTGTTCTACTATTTAAAGGGTATGTTCTACTATTTAAAGGGTTTGTTCTACTATTTAAAGTGTCTGTTCTACTATTTAAAGGGTATGTTGTACTATTTAAAGGGTATGTTGTACTATTTAAAGGGTCTGTTCTATTAATTAAAGGGTCTAACCAATTATTTAGAGGGTGTGTTCTAATATTTAAAGAGTCTGTTCTACTATTTAAAGGGTCTGTTCTACTATTTAAAGGGTATGCTGTACTATTTAAAGGGTCTGTTCTATTATTTAAAGGGTCTAATCAATTATTTAAAGGGTCTGTTCTACTATTTAAAGGGTATGTTGTACTATTTAAAGGGTCTGTTCTATTATTTAAAGGGTCTAATCAATTATTTAAAGGGTGTGTGTTCTACTATTTAAAGAGTCTGTTCTACTATTTAAAGGGTATGTTCTACTATTTAAAGGGTTTGTTCTACTATTTAAAGTGTCTGTTCTACTATTTAAAGGGTATGTTGTACTATTTAAAGGGTATGTTGTACTATTTAAAGGGTCTGTTCTATTAATTAAAGGGTCTAACCAATTATTTAGAGGGTGTGTTCTAATATTTNTCACTTGTCAGATTTTGATAAAATTTAGCTTTTTGGAAAGCCTTTGACATAAAAAAACGAGTTGCACAAGTTTTGCGAAAAAAAAATGCAAATTTTTCGCAAACAACCTGTCAAAGGAAATTTGCACATTTTTAGTTTTTCTTGATTAAAAATCAGGTTATTTAAAATTTTGCTAAATTTTTTGCATATTTAAAATGGCATGGTCAAAGGCTTTTCAAAAATGTATAATTTTTCATTTTTTGGACAAACTTTTTTTGCAAACAATTTTTACTATAAAACTGGATTTTGCGATAAATAATTCAATTTTTGCAAATTTCCATTTTTTTTTGCAGATTCTAAAAGTAGAGCACAAGAGCTTTCAAATGATGTATCATTTGTCATATTTGAACATCAAACATGGGATTTAGAGGGGGGGGTCAAATTGACCCCCCCCCCAGCATATCCTGGTTTTTAAGTGCCCTAGCAAAGATAGGGTTAAAGGGTCTGTTCTACTATTTAAAGGGTATGTTCTACTATTTAAAGAGTCTGTTATACTATTTAAAGGGTATGTTCTACTATTTAAAGAGTCTTTTCTACTATTTAAAGGGTATGTTCTACTATGTAAAGGGTCTGTTCTACTATTTAAAGGGTATGTTGTACTATTCATAGGGTTTGTTCTACTATTTAAAGGGTGTGTTCTACTATTTAAAGAGTCTGTTCTACTATTTAAAGGGTCTGTTCTACTATTTTAGAATACCATGTATCCAAACTGATGATTTTAAGTCCCAAAAAACAAGAACAGCTTATTTTGTTTTTAACTAAAGGGAAAAATTGCAAAAATGCCGTTTATAAAATGGTTTAAAACTTTTTTTATAAGAATGAGACGTAAAGGTGTTGTAGAGAATAGATTATTCTGCTTGGTTTTACAAATTAAAGCAGTAAAAAAATATTTTTGAAAAAAAAGAAATATTATTAATATTTTTTGTTGGTTCTTTTAAAGTTGGTATAAATGGAACTTATTTTAATCTGTAATTAATCTAGTTAGATACGTTACAACTATAATAAATCAAGTTAGATACGTTACAACTAGCTGTAATAAATCAAGTTAGATACGTTACAACTGTAATAAATCAAGTTAGATACGTTACAACTGTAATAAATCATGTTAGGTACGTTACAACTATAATAAATCAAGTTAGATACGTTACAACTGTAATACATCAAGTTAGATACGTTACAACTGTAATAAGTCAAGTTAGATACGTTACAACTGTAATAAATCAAGTTAGGTATACGTTACAACTGTAATACATCAAGTTAGATATGTTACAGCTATAATAAATCATGTTTGATACGTTACAACTGTAATAAATCAAATTAGATACGTTACAACGTAATACATCAAGTTAGATACGTTACAGCTATAATAAATCATGTTAGATACGTTACAACTGTAATAAATCAAGTTAGATATGTTACAACTGTAACTGCTGTCTGCAGATTACAGCGATCCAAAGGTTTTAAGCTCTGATGTAAAAATCAGCATTTTCCCATCACTCAATTTAAACTAAAGATAGAAACTAGTGCTTTATGGTTATGAGATGTCCAGGTTTAGGGCTTCAACAAACGTTAATTGTAGACCAAAGAGTTGCGACACTTCAAAATTAATTTGCACTCCCTTGCGCGCAAATGAATTTAAGTGCACAACATTCGTTAATATTTACGTGCAATAAAAATTCCGTTTAACTTCTTTATGTTATTGTTTCAGTTTCCTGAAAACATTCAATTTATACCAATTATGGCGAGCAGTTATGCTATTAATTGTAGCGCAATTCTGTTCAACTTAATTGAGTTTAAAAAAAAAGAATTCTTTTGAACCTTACTCACCTTTCAGTCTCAAATGGAAAGAAGTTTGAATTTAAACTTAATTTTTTTTATAATATACACATAGCATAAATTGGATTTCGGTAGAACAAACTTTCACGCAACATAATTCCGATCGTTGAAAGCCCAGTTTGGATCTATCTGCAAACTTCTGTTTGAAAATTAGGTTCAAAGGTTAACCAATGAAGCACTTAAAGTATAAGCTAAACAAATTATTCGGATTCATATCAAATTAATTTACAAATATTGGAAAAACATTAAAAAAATCTTTCTGTGACAATCTTAATTACGATATGCTTGAAGATATTTTAAACTTATATCCTATAAAGTATATTTACGCATAATTAATAAAGATTCATATCCATAATTCTAAGGAAAGAAATTTAGTGATCGCCACAAACTCTAATTTTCTAATCCCTATGTCTTTTCAATCAAATGTCGTAGTCCTAGAGTTTTATATCTAGCATTAAGATTTCTAAGGTTTACACTATCAGGTTGCAAAGATGGAGGGTTTACAAAACATGAGTTTGTGGCAAAAACTCAATTTCTCTAGTTAGGAATTTTTTTTTACAAAAAGAAAATGATTCCTCACCTGTATACTTGAATTTTCTATTCCACATATTTTCGCAACTCGATTAATCTCGATATTCTTTAAATTCTTCTTATTTCAAACTTGACGTTTTGATCTATAAGATTGAAAGGGAAGGCAACCCACACTCTTTTTATCTCCGACCTACAAATGCCGTCACGAAGTGGTGTTGGTGATAAACTTATCTTTCAATCATGCTGTGAAATATCTGGGTCGGACGCTATACGTTAAAGCACATGCCGCAGACACCATTTTGTGACGTCATTTGTGTGTCAGGTAAAACAAGTGTGGGTCGCCTTCCCCCTAATAAGGATTTATAATCTCAAATAGTAGTTGAAGGTATGCGACATCTGAGAACGCTTAGACTATATTTGATATTTTATAAAATAACAGATTTAGAGTTAAATATTTGGATACAATTGTATCAGTAAATCTGGTACTTGAAAATATTGGAAAATTTAGCCAATTTTGTTCAAAGAATTTTTTCAAGTGTCTTGGACGTCATAGTTGCGTACACTGATGGACGTCATAGTTGCGTACAGTGATGGACGTCATAGTTTCGTACAGTGATGGAAGTCATAGTTGCGTACAGTGATGGACGTCATAGTTGCGTACAGTGATGGATGTCATAGTTGCGTACAGTGATGGACGTCATAGCTGCGTACAGTGATGGACGTCATAGTTGGGTACAGTGATGGACGTCAAAGTTGCGTACAGTGATGGACGTCATAGTTGCGTACAATGATGGACGTCAAGTTGCGTACAGTGATGGACGTCATAGTTGCGTACAGTGATGGACGTCATAGTTGTGTACAATGATGGACGTCATAGTTGCGTACCGTGATGGACGTCATAGTTGCGTACAGTGATCTACAAAAAAATGTTTTTATTAACAAACGCTTAATCTAATTTGTTTAGGTTTTTTTATAAAATATTTTTTCTCCCAAATGTAAACTTTGTGATTTTTTTCTAAGTTCCACAAAATCTTAAAAGTTTTACAAATTTCAAAATTGTTTATTTCTTACGTTTGTGATTCTTAAACCATGGCGAATTTAGACTCTGACAGAAAATTTAATCAAACTTTTCCAAAATTCAGTTTTAAACATGAAACCTTCACAAGTTAACAAAATAGGTTTTTAAAATTCCAAAAAGCATAAAATTTCTAGAAAAAAAAACCAAATTATCTCCCATCACTATTCTTTACATACTTTTTAAAGTTACCTTTTAGTTTATACATAAGTTTGAAAGCATTTTTCAATCATTCACAAATCGTAAATTCAAAATTCTGGCCATTTGTTAATGCACTAACTATATGGATGTTTGTTTTAATATTATTCAGCGCAGGAAAATCATAAATATTGGCGAGGAGGAGAGGAGGGGGGGGGGATTTTATCCTTCCCCCCCCTCGCTTCCTTTCTGTGTGTATCCTTTGTTCAGAATGCAGCTACGTTTTAAATTGAAATTTCAAGGGTTGAAGGGAGCTTAACCAAAATTAAGATATGGAAAGGTTTAGTTTTTATAGATCCTAACACTAAAAATGATCCAAATGTATATCGAGATGAAGCAATCGTGATTATGAATATAAAACAAGTCTGTTCCCAGCTGGTCTGTTTATTTCAGGGGTCTCCTCTCTGCTGCTAAATCTCTAGGACGGGAGAATGATTTCTACTGGATCGCTAGTGATGGTTGGGGGAAACAACAACAAGTTATAGAAGGTGATCAATCCGATCAATCTTACCCCCCCCCCTCCCCTCCTCTCCTTTTTTAAATACAAAGCTGAAGTGCCCCTCCATTTAAAGAGCTGGGCATGCCACAAACCCGAATTCCAAATGAACCCTTGAAACCTCTATGTTATCAATGATGTGGAAAATATCCCCCAAACCATTCATTATATAAAAGATACAAAGGAATTGAGTCTTTCCCACAACCTTCAATTTTCTAATCCCTATATTTGTGCAACTTGATGGTGTAAACCTTTGATATTTCAAAATTAGATTATTTAATATTCCAGAATTCAGAGTCTGAAAAATCTAAGGTCTACGACATTTGGTTGCAATTGTGATTATTGTGATTATAAAATCAGAGTTTGTGGCAAAGACTCAATTTCTTTTTTAACGAAAGCACTGATAAGAATTAACAGCTACATTTCGTTTCGTTAATTTTCAACGATTAACAATTTTTTTTTTTAAATGTTTGAACGTGTCCAGCTCTATAGTCAGAAGTTTATGGGTTGATATCTACAAAATCCTCTCGATTTTTTATAATATGGAAAAATATATTTTATTCTAGAATTGAACATTTTACGACTTGTTTTTTGTTTTTCTTGCACTAAAAGTTAAATTACAAAATTATATCTATTTTGGAAAAACAATGTTAAATAACAAGGTTTTGTAACTAACCAAGGTTTTGTGACTAACCAAGTTAGCTAACTAAGAATATGTACTTTAAATTTTGTACTTTTGTGGTTTCGTAAAATTGGAAAAATATTAATGATTCATTTTAAGGAAAAAATAGAAAAAAGTTTATAGCTGTAATTGAAAAATTGATTTATTATTTATTAAATTATTGGTTAAACAATCAATTCATAATTAATGATTAATTTTCATAAGTTTATTTATTAATTAATTTACGAATTTATTGATTGATTAAATAAATAATTGATTAGATTGATTGATTAGTTGATTGATTGACTAATTGATTGATTGACTAATTGATTGATTGATTAATCAGGACTTGAGGATGCCGCAGCTGGAGCTATTACAGTAGAGCTAGAGTCTAAACTCATTCCAGAGTTTGATGAATATATGTTTAATCTCAACCCGGAGAAAAATACTAGGTATAAAATCATAATACGTTGAATCTCAAACCGGAGATAAAAATGATGCAGGTAGAAAATCATAATATGTTTAATCTCAACCCAGAGAGAAATACTATGTAGAAAATCATAATATGTTTAATCTCAACCCGGAGAAAAATACTAGGTATAAAATCATTATATGTTATATCTCACCTTGAGATAAATATTTGGTATAAAATCATAATATGTTTAATCTCAACCTTGAGATAAATACTTGGTATAAAATCATAATATGTTTAATTTCAACCCGGAGATAAATACTTAGTATAAAATCATAATATGTTTAATTTCAACCCGGAGATAAATACTAGGTATAAAATCATAATATGTTTTATCTCAACCCGGAGAAAAATACTAGGTATGAAATCATAATATGTTTAATCTCAACCCGGAGATAAATACTAGGTATAAAATCATAATATGTTTAATCTCAACCTGGAGATAAATACAGGTAGGAAATTAGAGGCTAAAACTTTTGGATTTTAAATCTATTTATAACGCACTCAATCGCTTCCCCTTCCCCAGATAGACAGAGCAACCCATTTCTTTGGATCAAGATAAACATTAAAATCTTTCAATTTTAAAGTTTACTCTTTGAATAATAAAATTGAGTTCAGTCGATCTAACCAAAAGTGTTTTATTGTGACGACAATCAAAATTTCGATAAAAAGTCATGAAGTCTTAACAAAATTTACTGCATGTTTTTAGGCATGGTAGGTATTCCCCATCGAGATATTAGTAATAGAGGGGGCATCTGGAATTTTAGACTTCTTCTTGTACAGCCACTGTACACAATGACCCGATCAGAAATTCTACCTGGGGGGGATCATAATTCGTAGATCAGTGTTTTAAGACATTATTGTTTGAAAGTGAAGCCTACAATATTCAAGCAAAGAAAACAAGCCCATATGATTTTTGTATAAAAATGGACATGACGAATAGAGAAAAAAAATCCTTCTCCTTAATAACATCTTGTTTCTTATCAAATTCTTTACTTCTGAAATCTACATTGTACATTAACTTTTTGGGATATAGGTTTCTGACTTTTAGAATAAAAAGCAATTCTGAACTAATAATAGATCTAAATTAGGTTAGACTTAATTTTAAAGTTATTGAAGAACTGAAAACTGTTAAAATATTTATTTTACATAAATGAACTTAAAGGGAGTGTTCGCGAAAAATGAAAGGGGGTATGGGCTTAATGCGATAAAAAAGCGCTTTTGATTGCTACTAATCTTACTTCTATTTGTTGCGTCTATAAGGAGAAAATTATTAAAGACGTCCTACACCGAATAACTTAGCGGCCTTACAAATTGAGAAAATTGCAACATACTACTTAGACTGTAAAAAAATCAATTTAATTTCAAACAAATCATTCAGATATTACAGCCTATAGTCATCGATTATCTTTAGCCACATTTGTATATAGTTTATATTTTATAATGTTTTTTAATTAATTTAAATCTCTTGTCCCTTGCGCAACTATCTAAGTATGCCGCACACCACTCACAATTTTCGAAATCCGTTGAAAACGTTTTCTAAAAAAATAAAACATTATAAAATATAAACTATATACAAATGTGGCGAAAGATAATCGATGACTATAGGTTGTAATATCAAAATGATTTGTTTGAAATTAAATTGATTTTTTTACAGTCTAAGTAGTATGTTGCAATTTTCTCAATTTGTATGGCCGCTAAGTTATTCGGTGTGAGACGTCAATGTATATTGTACACCGCATGCAATCTAGACCTCAGATATTCATATATCCAACCCTAGAGCAACTCAGATAAGATTAAGAGTTAACCCTATCACTGATGGGGGGGGGGGGGGGGGGGGGGGGGCGGGGGATTTCTATTAAAGCATAGGACGTATAGTATGGATCAATATTAATAATTTATTCATTTTTCCACGAAAACGCGTTTTATAACTTTCCTTGAGATTAGTTCTAGAACAAAGTTCATAAATTAAACTTGACAAAATAATAACTTCTACAATTGACATATATATAGTTATAGTATGTTCTCAAAACAAGAAATCAAAATTCATTTTTGAATAAATTATGCAAATTCAAACAAAACCAGGAATAGGGAAAATCTAAATGTATAGGGAACCTATTAAGAACAGAAAAAACTTTGTTTACAAAAGTGCTTAACCTTGTTTATAACTGGGGTTTCCTGGAAATATTTTCTTTGTTTACATTTCTAGTTTGTTTTTATAGATTTGTTAAAACTTTAAACTCTTACAAAAGGTACAAAGGTTTTAGGTTCCAAAATTTTTCACTCTCAAAATTCACGGTTCGGATTTTTCAAAAAATAGCGTAGTTTTGATTATGGTTATTTTAATTTTATTTTGATTATGATTTTTTAAAAAGAAATCAAGGTTTTAAAATTTTAATAGACTAAATTTTTAAAAATTCTACCATCTCAATCGTAACATCGAACTATCGACACCAATAAAAATTACGAGCATTTTATTCGAAATTATTAACTGATGTTGGGGTTATTTATCAAATCTTAACATCCTTAACATTCTTCGTAAAAAAATATTACATTCTGAAATTTAATTTTGTATTTAGCTTTACCTCAAATATCGAACCGAGCCGATTGGGTCTAAATATTTTTTTTTTGCAATTTACATGACTCAAGGAAAGTTTTTGGCCGCTTAAAAGCGACAAATTTGGTCTTTTTTAAATTTTGGAAATCTCTATCATTGCAGACAGTAGACCCGCAAGATTTTGAGTTTTAAAATAACAAAGAAAATTGGCCGTTTAAAAAGCAAATTAAACACTAAAATTGTTGTTAGAATATTGGCGGGACGTGCCCTAAAAACCTAGTACAAAAAAACCAGATATATAAAAGCCTCTAAAAAGTAAAAAGTCTATCTCCCTTGAATGTTTTTCAAAACGAGGAATGTAGATTGCACTTGTTTAATTTAATTTTAAATTTAGGAATCCATGGTTTCTCCACTACTGGCAAATTATTACAGGTAACATTATTTTTCTCCTTCGATATCTCAGTTTTTAAAAAAATTTTTGATTGATTTATCATAGGTATCGAAACCTTTATTTTAAAACAATGGCATCACACTCGTTCTCAACAAACTACTTAGGGCAAAATAACTTTTCAGAGGTTGTGTTCAAAACAGTCTCTTGTTCAGGTTATGTTTAAAACAGTCCCTGTGTTCAGGTTGTGTTTTAAACAGTCCCTGTGTTCAGGTTGTGTTCAAAACAATCCCTGTGTTCAGGTTGTGTTCAAAACAGTCCCTGTGTTCAGGCTGTGTTCAAAACAAGCCCTGTGTTCAGGTTATGTTAAAAACAGTCCCTGTGTTCAGGTTGTGTTTAAAACAAGCCCTGTGATTAAGTTGTGTTCTAAACAGTCCCTGTGTTCAGGTTGTGTTCAAAACAATCACTGTATTCAGGTTGTGTTAAAAACAGTCCATTAGTTCAGATTGTGTTCTAAACAATCACTGTGTTCAGGTTGTGTTCTAAACAAGCCCTGTGTTTAGCTTGTGTTCTAAACAGTCCCTGTGTTCAGGTTGTGTTCAAAACAGTCCCTGTTTTAACATTGTGTTCTAAACAGTCCCTGTTTTAACATTGTGTTCTAAACAGTCCCTGTGTTCAGGTTGTGTTCAAAACAGTCCCTGTGTTCAGGTTATGTTTAAAACAATCCTTATTTTCTGGTTGTGTTCAAAACAATCTCTGTATTCAGGTTGTGTTCAAAACAATCCCAGGGTTCAGTTTGTGTTTAAAACAATGCCTGTTCTTAGGTTGTGTTCAAAACAGTCCTGTATTCAAGTTGTGTTCAAAACAATCCCTGTGTTTAGGTTTTGTTCAAAACAATCCTTGTGTTCAGGTTGCATTTTAAACAATCTCTTTGTTCAGATTTTGTTCAAAACTATCTCTGTGAACAGGTTGTATTGAAAACTGTCCCTGTATTCAGGTTGTGTTCAAAACAATCTCTGTGTTCAGGTTGTGTTCAAAACAATCTTTGTGTTCAGGTTGTGTTCAAAACTATTAACGTGTTCATGTTGTGTTCAAAACAATCTTTGTGTTCAGGTTGTGTTCAAAACTATTAACGTGTTCATGTTGTGTTCAAAACAATCTTTGTGTTCAGGTTGTGTTCAAAACTATTAACGTGTTCATGTTGTGTTCAAAACAGTCCCTGTGTTCAGGTTGTGTTCAAAAGAATGAGATGACTGCAGAAAATGAGGAGGATGGATTCAGTATCTGCACCCAGTTCGATTCTATAAGGAAATCAATCAATCAATTCATCTTCAACCGATTGATGAATTTAACAAGAAATAAACCAATTCTATAAAAATAACATTAATTAACTTTTAGAGAAAAATAAAAAAAAACATTATTAGCACAATAATTCTGTCTGCCTTTTTTTAACCTATGTTTGCGTTGGCTTATGTGTATTTCTGTATCCAATATCAATGTGACCCCAAAGTTAAATGTCTGAACACAAAACATTATATATCCGCCAGTTATAAGCTAGAAACAGAGGCATTTTTGCCCTCAGTAAACTATAAATTTTGGAGAAAATCACTGATATTCAACAACGAAATCACTGATATTCAACAACGAAATCGCTTTTTTGGCAGCAATCAAACTTTGGCTGCCAATGTTTTATTGGTTTTATTTAGAAATGTAATGCGGGCGGTATCTTTGCATTTGCAAAATTGCAAAATCTAAATTATTACTCTATAATTGTATTGTTTATACACTATACAAATATACAATGATCTGGTATAGATCTCCTGAACAATGTAATTGGTTAAACAAATTTTGGCTACTTAAAACCAAGGTTTTTTAAGGCCTTGCTCACGTTACTGGCCGAAAATTCTGCTTTAGACTATTACAAAACTATACTTAATGACATCTAACAAATTTTGCTTCAAAATATTTGGTATTTTCACAAAAATTAGATGCGTAACAAAATCCCTATTTTAAAAGATTTATTTTAGCAGGAGAGCATCCTCCTATAACTGATTAAAACAAATTTAGAATCTTATAACCGTGTCGCTATTTTTAGCACCTACACTGATTAATTTATTTGATAACTAGAGTTTTAATGTTGATTGTTTGAATTTAAAACCAATACTGCAGCCTATGACGTCATATAAATGTGTACAGAGCGTACACAATATTCGGATAAATTCCTAATGCCCTATCTTCTACTATTCTACCGTCTTTGATAATAATAATGATGATATGAAGATAGAAATATCTCAATAAATTGTTCTAAATTCCAAGGTTTATCTATAAACTACTTTCTGTTTTAGAGTTACTTAGCCCAGTTTTATTGTAAATATCCGCTAGGGCTGGACGTTGGTCCGTTACACTGACATCTACACTAGGATAATTCCTCATCATATTTTTAGAAAGCCTTGAACACCTTGACTTTAAAGCTTTGCAACCTTGGGCTTTTGTTTTATCTCACGAAGTCACTTATAATATTGTATAGCCCTGGGCATATTTATTTTAGAACACCAGCGTGTTGTTTTAGGAGTAATTGGCAAAATGCTGTTCGATTTTTGCTTGCAGTGGTTAACGAACAAACTAAAACGTTAAACGTCGACTCATGAACTGAACTAAATTGAATAAAATTTAACAAAATTTATCAAAATTGGAATTCAAAGTATGTTAAATCATAAAAACAATGTTGAAAAGAGAAGAAAAAATCACTTATAATCGAATATACGTATTTTTAGAGATGAACGCGATTAAACAATAACACAACTTTTACTTAAAGCATAACATATTTTTTTTCTTAAATTCATAAAGTTGATAGAAACACATTACAGACATAATAGTTCATACCAATAATAAAAAATGTCGTAAATGGAAAGTTATTTGATTACAAACAAATATTCTCTCCCTTCCACCAAACCTCTGATCAATCCAGCATTTTTGTTTGCCTGAACTATTTTGAAATTTGAGAAAAATTGATTTATTACAAAAATTCTTTGCAAAAAAATTCTACTGCTGATCGTATCGTGTTTTAGAATTTGATGATGCTTTTCTTTAACCAATATAAACATTTTACCCATTTATCTTATAGATGTCCCGTTACCATATGTTGAGCAAATAAAACATCTTGAATGCACGCTACAAACAGATAATTCATTTACTCGTGATATAAATCAGAAACGTGGACAGTTTATTGCTAAAATTCATTTTCTCAATCAAGAATTTTACTTTGCAGATTCAACAGTTTTGATTAAATTATATAACCTTTATGCAACGAATATATATGGATCCAATTTATGGAATTTATTTTTGAATGATGTGTTCAGAATTTATTCGTCTTGGAACACTGCAGTTAGATTTGTGTTTAAATTACCAAACACTTGACAGAGATATTTTATCGAACCACTGTCACAGTCATCTCATTTAATGACCATGCTCTGAAAGTAGATTTGTTTCATTCATTTATTCATTCGAAAATTCGTCAAAAATTTGTATCAGACTTTTGATAAATCTTTTAAAATTCGATCAAAGGCCAGTAACTGCAAAAAATCTGAGAAATATTGCAGACAAATGCAACAAAGATTTGAATCTTATCGACAAACGCATTGTAAAAAATTGTATGATATTTGAAGAAATACCCGTGAATTGATTGATTTTCTTGTGTGACAGGTCGAGTAAGCATTATGAACAAGATTCTAAAGTTCAGTTCGTAATAGATGCCGTCTATGCGTTTGCCCATGCTCTACAAAATATGAAAAATGTAAGTTGAAATAAAAATTCAATTATCATTAAAAAAAAACATAGAGACAGTAAACTTAGTCTAAAGGGATTGTAATTTCAAATGACCCTTCATGCAAAAATGGCAATACCCGATTCAAATTTGAATTATAAATTTTTGAAAATTAATTATTTTCAATTGTTGTTTCTCTAAAAAATTGACTTGCGCATTTCTACTGCAGGAATTAAGATTTATCACATTTAAACATTTGTATAACAAGAAAAACGACAATATCTTCCATATTATTGTTCATATGAATGTTGAAAGGGTACTGTTGTGAATCAAACATTGCAATCTTACAATTTAAAATTACCTTACAGCCCCTCTAAGTGGTTCTAATTGAGAGTGGGATGTTCTAAACACTACGGTATCGTAAACCTATATGTTTGAACCAGGTATCTGGAATAAATAACATATTTTGAAAACGAGGAAATATCTTGCAGTAAAGAGGTTCGTAAAGGATACCGTTGTGAGTGAGACATTCCTCTTTTTCTTCTTTAATGAAAGGTCAAGTGAAATTATGCCTATCTATACCCTGAACTCTATAAGTGAAATTATGCCTATCTATACCCTGTACTCTATGTTAATGTTAATTATTTCGATATTTTATCCTTTTTTTTTTTCTTTTTCATTCATTTACCATTATCCGTACATCCCTAGTGATTCTCCGAACCACTTAATGTATTTTTCCATTTTCATTTTCTCGATATTACATCTAAGCAAATGAAAATAAAGACTATAAAATAACTGAAGCACACCATGAAAAATCAACTTGTTTTGGGCAGAAAAAATCTTAGATAAATGTAGAAAACATCATGAAAACGTTTTTTCAAGTTAATTTTCATTTTTTATGTGTCGGATATTTCTAAAAAATTTTCGAAGCCCGATACCTTCGGTCTCAAACTATTAATTTCAATGTTGTCCCTAAAAAACATTTTTTTATTTATGTACACATCAATTCAATTTTGTGAAAAACAAAAAATTTCTAGACCTTATTACGGGCTAGTAAGATATACATTCTTTTCTATTTTAGCCTTGATCTTACAGAGATTTTTCTAACAATTAACTATTTCCTTATCACAAAGGAGTTTGTTCCAAAATGTCAATTGGTCCTTTAAGATATTTGTTTTCTTATCAAAGAGTTTGTCCTGACTATAACTGTATTTGTCCTAAAAATAACTTTGTCATTAAAATTTACTTTGTCCTAAATATTAACTTTGTCCTAAAGTTAAGTTTGTCTTCTAGGATCTGTGTCCTGACTATAATGGAGCTTGTCCTGCAATGAGAAGAATGGATGGAGGACAGTTCTACAAGGACTACTTGCTCAAAGTCAGCTTTACCGGTTAGTTTTACATTTAGTTTTAGTTTTCCTTAAAATGTAGCACGAAATGTTTTAACAGTTTTCAAATTTGAGAAATGCCTGCAAATACATGTAATTTTATTTGGAAGAAAACTATGGAAAAAAATCTTTCTAAAATATTGCATAGTGAAAATGTTTCGTAAATAATTCCCAAAAAGTAGAAATTAAAATAAAACAGTAAAAATGTGTAACCTTTTACAGTTTTAATTTTGAGGCGGATTATTTTTGTAATGTAAAAAAGCTAATTTTTTTCAGGCACGATTTTTTATTCTAATAAAAATTTTGAAAAATTATCAAGCCTTTTTAGGCATGTTCAAACCCCCAATTTAATCTTAGAATTTCAAACCCACCCTCGGAAAGTATTTTTCAAGGATCATAGCTTAAAGTCTGAAAAAAAGCAAGAAGATTTTTTAATTCCTTTATTTTTGCAACCCAATTTCGTATTATCTAGTTTGAAATATCAGAGATGTACACCATCAGGTTGCAAAAATATAGGGTTTAGAAATTTTACATAAAGGGAAAGACGCAATTACTCAGCCCAGCCCAAAATTATATTTCTAAAGTTGTACACACTACACAGTTTTACTTTATTATAGTTAGTCCAATTTTAAATATAAACTGCAATTTATACTTTCTGAAAATGAAAATTTGAAATGTATGTTTATTTAGATATTGGGAACAGTACCGTCAAATTTGATGAAAAGGGTGATGGACTTGCTAGGAACCTAATAAAATAAACAATTTCTACATTAAACTACCCCCCCTCTCTCCCCCCCCCCC